CGGGTATACACCAGTAACATCACTAAAATGTAACACCTACAGTGATTGCTCTGGAAATCTTGGTATTCTTACTACTGCATTTTCGCAGTTCTGTCCACAGGCTATTTTTTGACATACGTAGAATTCTTCAAACCGTGAACTTTCTTTATAAATACTTAGCGTTAAAGTGGACAGAGGCCGAGGTAAGAAACCTACATTATCAATGAAATAGATTGTAGTATTGCAGTATTTCACAGGTGGTTTTAATGCCGTTGCGCAGCCGAATGATGGCCTCGACGAACCCATCGATGAAGGAATCTAAATTACATAACCATATTTTAATGAAGAAAAGCATTTTTGGAAAATAAAAAAGTTTGGAACCACGGCTATTTGGCTGACAGGCGACAAAGATTGCGGGATTTTGAATGCCTAATCCAGTCGACACCCAAAAAACATATGATACTAGCAAAAATACATCCTGTGGTGCAATCAAAATAAATAGCAACACGCACCAGACTAGTCGGTGCGATCATGCATTTTGTGCAATTCAGCCCATCGAACGACTGCCTATTAATGACTTTCACTGCGTTATACTTTAGTCTACGCAAAAATAGTTGAAACGCTGAAAAATATTTAGAAATTTCACACGCACGCGCATGAAAGCTGAATTCGAAACATTGAAAAGTGAATATCTTTCCATGATTCCCGAGTTAATAGTTTGCCTTCAAAATTTTCATGAGACCGTAGGTGATACCCGAGGGCCCGGGAAAGCTGAACTAGAATACGCAAGCTTGAGCGTGGGCAGGGGTCATTACCCTAAAATTTCAACTTTGCAGACTTCGTGGTTCCCGAGATAATAATTTACCCGCAAAAACTTTCACTAGCCCGTAGATGATAGCCGAGAGAGCTGGAACGATGAATTTGAATAGGCAAGGTTGAGCGCGGGCAGGGGGTCACTGTTCGAAAATTTCAGCTTCCTAGACTTCGTGATTCCCGAGATAATAATTTACCCGTGAAAACTTTCACTAGCTCGTAGGTGTGTAGAAATACCCGGACAGATGAAACCCCGGTGTGTGTTTATCTGTCTGGGTATTTCTATTCGCCAACTATGCAAACTTTGGTGTTAAAATTTTTTTTTGCCACTGTGTCAATTGCAACCCCAGAAACGTGATATCAACTGCTACGCACGTCTACACGAATACGTGAAAATTTTGGCAGGAAAATTGCTGACTCGGAGACGAGAAAAGCTAAAAAACTGAAACTTTAGGATTTCAAAGTCATGTAATTAAAAGATTTCAAAGTCAGCTCCTTAGAATAGCTCGGGATTCACATACGGACATATGGAAATTTTAGCGGGAAACTGCTAACTCGGGAAAGAGAAAAGCTGGAAACCTGGATTTTTGAGAAAATGCTCGCTATCTATGTGCGATTAAAAGATTTCAAATTCAATGCTTCTAGTGTGGGTTTTCGTGCACCAGCAACTTTCAGTTTGTCTGGTCAGTGAAGCCGACATCTACAACTGACATGCCACATAGTTGCTGCGCAACTTCCTGAACTTCGAGGGTCAGTATGGCGCAAATTCTAGCTACTGTGATTCTTCGCGATCTTGCTACAGCATGAAATAGTGCAAAAACGCATGATCGCACCGGCCCGCCTGGTACTTTCCAGCCTTGGTTACCTCACGAATCTATCATTGATAGCCGAAAATTTTCCTGAGCTGATGAAATTTTCTTTAAAATTTCTTAATTTCTGTTTTTTTAGTAGTACAGGCATAATCGAAAATAAGTAATTTTTGCAACCTTTGATCCATATGCAGTTTTTACCAGTTTCTTCGTAACATGCGAATCGCCCATAACAATATGATTTAGGACAAACGATTTCTCATCTGTTAGATTCTGAAATATGTGTAACCTTCAAAGCG